AAATACGGATTTGAGTTGATTAATAGTTTTATTGTATTTTTCTAGCAAAAAAAAATTGATGTTAAAACATTTATTGTCTTTTAAAAAATACTTTTAAAAAAATAATTATTTTAGAGATTATTTTTCTGTTGTAAACAAATCAACAACCATGTGTATAATTTTTTCACAGTTATTCGGGTTATTGAAATAATTTGTCTTTTTTTTTCACACCAATGCACACTCGTGCGAGGTTGTTGAAGGAGCCTATTGGCCCTACATGCAAAGCTGGATAGTCTTATATTAACAATGGATTACCTAAAGCAAACACGCATAATTTAGACTCGATTTGAGACGGACTGCTCAGATCTATTCAAAATGATTGAAGACTCTATGGATTGGCATGCGTTTCAGACAAAGTTAGATATAGCCTTTTCGAATTTAAAGATAGCTTTGTGACTTTTGGACTATTTTTTATTTTACGTTCTTCTAATATTCGTGCTATGTCCTTGCAAAAAGAGCAAAAGCACGTGGCCATATTTTTTTCCATGTAGATCTTCATGATTTGGTATGAGTTATATTTATAGAGACGTCTCTTCTTGACTAACTGTAATTTAATATATGGGGTTTGTCGACCAAAACAAAAAAAAAAACAATTTGTGTTTTAGTCCGATGAACAAATAAAGTTTAGATTAATCTAATTATGACATAAAACACAACCAAAAGCTCTTTCAGTTTATAATCCAACCAAAATGTGCGTTTGTAAATTTGTAAAATATGATGTAACTTCGTTCATATTTTACATACATGAGACATTGGCTTTAGCGACACATCCTTTGTGATGCGTCTCTGGGTACAACTTCGACTATAGCTCTTTCTAACTCGACATAGGAGTAGTTTCCATTTTGTCACTAAACAGGGATCTAATACTTTCTTTTCGAAGAAAGAATTCTTAGGCTCCTTTCGTGAGACTGCAATTTTAACATATCATATTCTTAATACATATTCACAAACATACAACGGAATTATCACTCTCGTTCTCTTTTCCTGTCAAGAATAACAAGAGAGTAGAAGGCAACTTTTTGGGAATAAATTTGAGCTAAATCTTTTACAAACATGTTTGCAAAGTCTTCTAGTTATCTATCGAGTCAGAACAAATTTTTATGTTGTTTTTGGAGATAACGAGTCATTTGAATTACAAACGAACAATTGGATATACAAGATCATATATCTTTCTCAAACGAGTCTTCTTCGCCGTTTATGAAGTTTGTCGAGCTTGTAGCACTGGCCCTCTTGGGCTCTGGTCAGTTTGCGAATCTGGATTTTCGTGTTTATTGTTCTAGCAGTTTTGGCTTGCCTTTGAGTTGGTTTCTGATCTCTGTTGATGGCTTGAGATTGAAGAGATTGATTTCGAGGCAGTGTTACCTCGCCCAACATGTTAAAGTTGGTGCATTTCTTTAAGGTTGCTTCAAGTTCTATGAACCAATTGCGTTTGGTCGGATTTTCTTCTGAACAAAACTCGGATGCCGGCTGGTTTTGGCGATAAAATCTTCATTAATCTGGATTCACTTTTGGACTTGGTGTTACCATTTTCTCTTGTTTAAAGTTTTTGTTTTGTTTAGTATAAGCGGTATGTCTTATTTTCCTTAAAACTTTTGGCTCTGGAAGATGAGGTTTTGTCGGCTAGGTATTTCAAAAACGTATTTTACCCGTGTAATTCACCCTCGTTTGAAGTTTTAATTAATGTAGTAGTTTAGATGCCAAAAAAAAATATCTTTCTCAAACTCTCTTTCATTTAGCCACAATTTCCGCTGCCAACCAAACTTTTTCATTTTTTTACTAATTCGAGAAATTTCAATATAAGAGAGTTTGAAAAAATAACACATTTGCCTTAGCTTATTACATGCCACTTCCTTATTCGCGAAAATTTTATTCTATAATGAGTAAATTAGTTAAATAACCAAAAATTTAGCTATAATTAAAAAAATGACTAAATTGTGGAGATCTCTTATATATTAATTGGAGAGTGATTTGTGAGAAGATGTTTATGTGTCATCTCCACAATCACTCTCACCAAAACAATTATGACATGGGTTGACAAAATTGTGACATGGCAATTTTGAATCAATAACAAAATATTCTACAATTAAATTTATATTGTTACCATAAATAAATCAAAAAAGTTTTTAACTAATATCTTATCAAATTTTCGGTATTTCGTATAAATTATAGGGAAAATTACAAAAATCCCACTTTTTATGTGCACATTTGCAAAAATGCCACTTAGGGGTGTTCATTTGCAAAAATACCACT